CTGACAACTTCAAGAGTTTCAACAGCTCTACAATTCTGCCTCTTCGAAGTAAACTTTCTATAAGGATACAACACCATCACCGGCAACCTTACGGCGCAATTTGAAGCGGCTGGGGGCACCGTTGTGATGAATGCCACGGTGACTGAGGAGGGGCATCGGGAGCCGAAAGTTCAGGATTCAGGTGTAGCAGGGCAACGTCTTGTCGTCGCAGTGGGATGAAAAAGTTTCAGAGACACCGGACTGCGGCCTGATCTCCGTCTCCGGAGCAGGTGAGCTACTGCACTGGTTTCAAGCAAGATGGCGTCGTCCCACCCTGCGCGGCGAAAGTTTCCGCCGTGGAAACTGGAGGTACTGCTGTCACAGAGTATTCGGCGGACGCGGTGAATCTTGCTTAGTATTTGAGGCAAACTTGAAATCATCAGCTACAGGTAGTTCCCCGATGGAGTTCGCTTATCTTCGTCATAAGGGCCTGAGAGCAGGCCCTAACATAGGGCTAACCCCTATATGCAGAATCTTTCTGGGGCCCTATTCCGCTTGCAAGCTCAACGTCAGCCCCTTCTCGTAAATCTCTGGATGGTTCCCTTATGCCCTTTGGAATTTCGCTGAATTACAGCTACATTGCGAGGATGAAATATACCCCGGTTCTTGATTGCCAAGGATTGTTGCAGTGCCTTTGGGCGTCTTGCAAGCCGACGCTGAGCAGTCCAGGTAAGCATCCCTTTCTTTCTTAGAGTCGCTCTCTCCCCTTAGACCACCCCGTTTAGGGACCGTGAGCCAAAAAGACTTCGGAGCAGAGAAGGATAAAGTGAAGTTCACCCCGCCGCTGCCGGCTTCTCATGCGGACGCTATTGGGCGCATGCAGTTCCGGATCCTTTCGGTACAGATTTTTTCTGTTCTGCTTCTGGGTAAACCCAGACTCTACATATTATATCATATTATAGTATTATAGACATGCAAACGATGGTGAGTAGTTTGGTCGACACCGACATGGAGGCCTAATTGTAGAGTGCTTAGTGCTTAGCATATACATATGCATGCATGAGTACGGCTACAGGCTCACAAGGTTTCGTGTTTGGGAGTTTAGGGCAAAGAAGACCGCTGCAGGTTCGGTG